TTTAAAAAAAAAAAAAAAATGGGTATAGGTATATTTATGGTGGTTTCGTTCAAATTGATGAAGCTAATGTATCTACAATCCTTGATTTCTTAATTACTGCTAATCAGTTTGACCTCAAAGAATTAGTCGATACTGTGCAAACAAAATTTGTCAAGAATCATGCATCATGGATACGCCGAAACTTTGCTAAAGTTTATACAACTAGTTTTAATGAAAATTTTGAAGTTTTACAACAATTTTGTAATGATATTATTTTTAAACATCCAGATATTCTTTATAATTTAGAGGACTTTATAAATATTCCTGAAAAAGCCTTGGTTTCTTTTTTGAAACATGAAAACATAAAAACTGATTATGGCAAAGTTTGGGATCTGGTTATTAAATGGGGAATTGCTCAAAACTCTGACCTAAATTCTAATCTTGAAGAATGGTCTGACGAAAATTTTTTAACTTTAACAACTATTCTTAAAAATTGCCTACCCCATATCCAGTATTTTCAAATGACTAGCAAAGATATTTTAGAAAAAGTACAGCCGTATCATCGAATCCTTGATCCTAAGTTATGGGAAATTATAAAATTTAATGCTTCAGATGAAGCTATTGTTTCAAATTTTTTACCTTTTCAAGCAATCCCAGCAACTAGAAATGTGAATAGGGATTCAATTATATTATCTCAAAATATATCTACTACAACTTCAAAAGAAAAAAATGTGAAAAAAAATGAAATTCAACTACCACTACTACAGCTACTATAGCCTCGTATGAAAAAAAACACTCCTTTACGAAAAAATTATAGCAATGTTAAATCTGAAAACTGGACGAAATGTGATATCAAATTTGAGAATGAATTTGAAAATATTAAATTTGAAGATTTATCAGAAAGTAATGATGAATTTGAAAATTTTTGGGGAAGTAATGAATTCTATAATGGCACTTCCACTAAAAGATCATATAAATGTGGAAATTGTGGCCAAGAAGGGCATAATCGACGTACCTGTGATCGTATCACTACACCATTACCAACTTCTCCAATACACAACGGTTCTACTAAAAGATCATATAAATGTGGAAATTGTGGCCAAGAAGGGCATAATACACGTACTTGTGGTCGCAAAACTTCACCATCAGCTACCTCATCAACAACCTCAATGTACAACGGCACTCCCACTAAAAGATCATATAAATGTGGACTTTGTGGTCAAGAAGGGCATAATAGTCGTACTTGTGGTCGCAAAGCTTCACCATCAGCTACCTCATCAACAACCTCAATGTACAACGGCACTCCCACTAAAAAATCATATAAATGTGGACTTAGTGGTCAAGAAGGGCATAATAGGCGTACTTGTGGTCGACAAAAATAACATATACTTATGAAAATTGAGGAAAAGAAGGGCATACGTACTTGTGATCATATACGTAAACTGAAAACGAAAGCTAATCTCCAGCAGTTAAATTATTACTGTTGGAAAATAGACAAGCATAATTATTTATTTATAAGTAATTTAGGATGAATTAATAACTTATTTTTGTATATTACTAAATATTATAGTTTTATTGCATTATAAATATCGCTATAAAATAATACATTTGTACAATAAGCAAGCTAATAAATTATTTATTAAAATAATAAGAGTAATATGGCTAACATTGTTAAGTGGTAGTTTGCATTGAAGGGTATCGGCAAAGAATTACTATTACTTTCATATAATGTTGGAATGCTGAAAGTTCTGCAATATATAAAAATCATATAAAGGAAAAAATGGCAACGCGCGATCTACTAAATCGATTTTAATAATTCTACAACTATTGGAATCAGAATAATTCGCTCTATAATATTTTGTTAGAAACTCAAGGAAGGTTTGTTTAGCTGAAAAAAAATTCGCCATTGTAAGCTAGCTGCATTCCAACCCTATAGAAAACCATATCAATTTCTACTATTATTGTTTATACCCTTTAATCGCAATTTGAGATTCATTATCTCTATATCGTTATTGGTTATCTTGCCCCAAACTATGCCACTTTGTCTGTCATGGTATGGCATCGCTTGACACAGATTATACGTGAGGCCAATTAACATTTGCAACCTTCTTCATTCATATATATGAAATTTTGAAAGTATTATCGTATACATTAATAGACACGAACAACTTTAAAGTATCTTGCGGAAATCCACTTAGTAATCGTCGAAATAGTCGAAATATAAGTAATTTCTTATTAATAAATGATCAAAATTCATTTACTAGTTAACATTTGTCAAAATTAATTCATCAAATGTAGGTAATTGTTTAATAAAATTCATCGAGGTTGTCAAAATTATTTTGGCTAGTAACTTACAGACAAATGAATATTTTATTTTATTTTTTTGATATATTGCTAAAAGTTTTAGATGATTAATTCATATTTGTTGTAATTTTTTTAAATCATTATTTTTACATCAGTTGTTTCCTAAGGTATTGGTTATCAAAAATATGATTATCTTGTTCATCATTAGGAAAGACGAACTATGAATATTTAGTATAATTATCGC